ATTTCAGCACCAACCGAAGTCGGAAAGTTGCTGAATGGCTCTCTTTTTCTTCGCCTTTCGCTGCCAACTAGCAGGCGTCAGGGTGAAAACGCCAAAACTGGAAGGCTGGATCAGGCGGGAACCGACAACGGTAACAGGAGGGGGTTGGGCGGGCGAAAGTTTGAGAAAAGATCTGGCTAAGGCAGGCGCATTACTATCTAGGGTTCGGTGTTTGGCGGAGTAGTTATCTGATGGTGATTGTGGGGTCGCCTTTCGACGAACTTGGCTGGAGGTAGGCATGTGTGGGCGGGAGGGATAGTAGAAATATAGGACGGGTAAGACGGCGCTGTTGAGACTAGTGTACAGACATGGAGGGAAGAGAAAACAATTCTAGTGGGAGGGAGTGGAGGGTCATTGTTGCGTCGCCGGCGTCGTCTTTTTTTTTCTACAAAAGGGCCGTTGTGCTTGCACGATTTATCAATCCGCAAGGCAATCGAGTGGATTAAGGCAAGAATGAGGCCACAATGAAATCAGGATGCTTCCGTTTTGAAGGGTTCAGTACCCAGAGGCAGATTTGTAAAGTCTAAAAGGATATGACAATCAGCAAGAATTCTGTGTTATTACACCTGACAGAAACACACAAAACCTAGAGTTCTAAATTTATAAAAGTCAGGACATAACCTGGAGACTGTGAAAGTGATATAGTTACTACTGTTATTATTACTACTGATTGATAAATACCCGATCTGCAGCGACAGAGAATGACAGGTGGCGAGGCACTGATGAACTTCGGTTCGATGAAGTGCTTACGACCCATCTGGTAGGCCTCAGTGGTGGACCACTGCGCCAGGTGCGTCTGTGCGCATGTTTGTGTTTCTGGTCCCAGCTGCTGGTGGTCAGGGTTATGATTGGCTGAATGAAGGCAGAATAAGCCCGAAACAGTGCTGTATCAATCTACCCGCATTCTCTGTCGTCCCTCCTCGCTGCTATTATGACTTGGCCGACTTCGGCCTGGTAATTGGTTGCCTGTTCGTAACCTTTGCCACACATACGGAGGTTGTTTGCTTTGTGAAGCCAATAGATCGGTGTGCGCCCATTTCTGATATATATATATATATATATATATATATGTAATAGGCAAGACAAGGGGCCCGTGGCTCAATGGTTAGAGGCGTTGGTCGCAGGATCGAGCCCCAAGTGTTCCACATTTCGGGGTCGGGCATGACTGGCTGACGACGGCTAATAAGCCAGAAATGGCCATTCCAGTCTCCCTTGTCTTGGTCGGTAATAACGTACTGCCTATATCATGCGCCGCTGTGCGGCTGCTGGTTGGGTTCGAGAGAGAGCCCGTAGGGCCCAACGGGACGAGTGAGTTCCGTAAAAACGATCGGTAAATGCAGATGAGACGTTGCAAAGACAAAGAAGACTGGTATGTCCTATTTATGGCTGGGATTTGGTAAGCCTGGCTGAACATGGTCAATAAGCCAGCAATGTCCAGCCCGATCTCGTCTTTGCTGGACAACCTCTTGTCTGAATATACTACTAGTCGCTGTGTGACTGCCTGCAAGGGCTTTAAATTGAGACCCAGGGCACAATGGGACGAGCATGTCCCGAGGCTTGACGAGTGAGCGCCCCTCCACCATTGTTAATATATCCGATCGCAACAGACAGGACAACGAGCTCGTGGCGCAATGGCTAGTAGCTGAACTTACTTACGCTCAATAACCAAAGGAAGTTCCCGGGTTTGAACCTCAGGTACCTCCAAACCTAGAACTGAGTAAGGTTGGCTGGCTGGCGACGACTAATAAGCGAAAAATGGCCATCCTGGCCTGTCTTGTCGGTACCACCTTACTCACATATAAATACATGCAGAGACTGCCGACGAAAAACAAGAGGGAGACGGATGGCCATTCCTGGCTTATGCAGGATAACAGTACTCGTGTCTTGAACGAGAGGGGAAGTAAATCTAACGGGATGTAGTGCGTACCGGAAAAGAGCAGATCCCAGAGCTCTTCGGAGTCAGACATCAAATCGCTGTCCAGCTCGGTGCCCAGGTCACTCAACGAGGAAGATGAGGGCAAAAGCTGTGGAGTGGATAGAGGAGGAGAGAGCGAGGAGACGTCACTCGTTCTGCTCGCGTTAGGGCTCACCGGAGGTGCCCGATACTCAGCTCCTAGCGGGGGCGGTGTGCTGAGGACAAGGTCACCCAAGTCGGAGTCAGTGGGGAGCGGAAAGTCAGGGATTGGGGGGTCACCCAGAGGATCTGCCATTGGGTCGCCGAGCATAGCATCCAGTATATCGACATCCAATTCCTGCAGTTCCTCCTCCTGTTGCTGGCCGCCATCAATGGCGTCGAAACTGACGAAAGTCCCTCCAAGTGGCGACGGCAATGGCGGCGGCGGCGGTGGTGGTGGAGCCGGAGCCAACGTGGGCGCTACTGTCAACTGGCTCAGTACCGCAGTGCTCTGGTGTTTGCAAAAGACAGACGGAGGATCAGGAGGCGAGAGACGCAGGGGGGAGGGTGGAGACGGCAGTTTCCGGCCTGGTAGGGTGCAGAAGATCGGAGGCAGAACGGTCGGTTGCCTGTAGGCACCGTGTTGCGCATCCGTCTCCTTGACACCAGCAGTCACGTTGAAACACAGTGGAGATGTTGAGAGAATTAACTGCCTCAAACCTTTACTCTGCTGAAAACGAAAGATGGGGGAAAAACATGTGAATCAACCAAATTTTATCGGGTAGGCTATTGGGAAAAAAGGCACTTACAGAGACGGGAAAGGGGCGTTTACCGGCCATTCTGTCTACCCTAAGAGGTAAGTGGTGAGGAGGTATCCCGGCACACTTTATTGCAAGGCTGTGCGCTAAGTTTTGTTCAGATGACATAGAGATGTGAGGTCAGCTCTTAAAGGACTGTATTCGAGACACATACAGTAGGTAGTCTAACTCATGAAATGTCGTGGCCGAAACTTGACTGAGAAGTGCGTCATGCATTAGGTGTTGTTATTTGTGTTTATTGAAATGATTTAAGGCACAGAAACCGACTTAGCGAAGAGGGATTCATTTGAAGTTAGTTTTATTAAAGGAACACAGGCCAAATTTGGGCGAAATCTGACCTTTCCTAATATCTAGACTATTTCCTACGCTATTGAAATTTGCAAATCAAAACTTCAGGTTTACGTGCATTGTGCTGTAAACGAAGATTAATAAAAAACAGGAAAAGTACGAAATAAATCTCGTGTGGAAACGGAAAATTCGACCTTACTTCCATGAGAATGAGGTGAGGGCGAGTATGAGAAATTACATTGTTTTCAAGAAGAAAGGGTAAATTCAGCTTGTAAATTTTTTTGCAAATTTATAGCGTTTCTCGCCATAAAACTTAGCAATAGACTTGTCCGACAGTAGTTTGTTTTACCACACCTAGAACTAATAGGCGTATACAAATATATATATATATGTATATATATATATATATATATATATATATTGAATACGTGTAACATGCTACCATTTTTCTGTGTCACGGCGTGCGACAAAGATGTCCAGACAACGTCTATGAAAGGATACGGACATCTGCATTGGAAGGGTTGTCACGTGAGTCTTTAGTAGGGATTTTCAATATTAGTAAGGTTACTCTGAGGCGAATACTTAATGATAGAACCGTACCCAGAAATAAGCATGGTGGACTAAAACGGTCCACAAGTAAGCAAGACGACGATTTTATTCGTCGTACACTAAAAAGTATAATTATATGCCAATGAAGACCATTCACAGGGAACAACTGCCAATGTTCTCTATGAACGTAATTAAGAAAAGAATGCAGGAATTTGAACTTCATCGACAAAAGGTCATGATCAAGCCGTATTAAGCAGAAAACTTACTAGAGAACGCCTTTTATTTATTATTTATTTATTATTTTATTATATATTATGTTATACATTATTATATATTATTTATTATATTATTGTATTTATAATATTGACCAGCGTGAAAGTAATTAACTTTCACTGAAAACTGGAATTTATATATAATATATAAATATTAAATTAAATATTTATTTTATATTTAATATTTAAATTAATATTATATAAATTATATATATAATATATATATATATTATATATATATATATATATATAATTATTTAAATTAAATATTAAATATTAAACTATAAATATTATAAATTACAAACACAGCTATGTACATTTTTCAAGAATAGTCGATTTGTAACTGCCGTTAGACTTTAGGGAACGCAGTTTGGGGGGTGGGTTTTGCGTTATAAAGCTTTTCTTGTGCTAACTCATGACATTTCATGAGTTAGCACACCTACTGTAAGTGCGCAGATTATTGACGCAGCCTGGGATCACAATCAACGAAAATGATGGCCTGTTTCGTTCACTTCTGCAGACTGGTTACTTCCACTTACCTGAATTAAGCTCATTCCGGAGGTGGGCAGGGAATAGGACCTGCCTGATGCCAGAGCCGCCTGGCCAAACTCCGAATTGCGGGGGATTTTCAGTAGGCGGATTGGCCGCTTTGCTTGGAGAGTTGTCAAGAGATGCTGCTGGTGGTCTAATGGCTGCTGTTGTTGTTGTTGCTGTGGCTCCAATTTGATTCGAGGTTGGATAACTTTTGCCTGAAGGGTGGGTGTTTGCACGGGGCTGTGGAAGGCACTTGGTTCGATTGCATAGGTTATCTGGTCAAGAGCTCGGGTAGGGCACATTGACCTGGAAATACAAAACACCATGCTACTTTAGCATATTCAGTAGTGTTGTTTGTTGTGTAAAGTAAGACCTCAGACGAACCCGATAATTTGGTTGATGCACTTGACTTGTGAGTCCCCCGGAATGCAGGCAAACAGCGTTCGTATCCAGATTATGCGAGGTGGAGAAAGAGACTTCGTAGAATCAACTGAAACTTTGAGTTGTTGACTAGGGATCCGGAGGCGATAAGGCGGTGTCCACAGGGACAACTTGGTAGTTAGGCCTGCACATAAAAGGTGTTTTGAAAAGCGAGATGCACAGTAGAGAGCATTCGTTCTGGGGCAGTATTAGGAAAGCGCCGATGCCGCATGCAGTAAAAACCACTTTGAACAGGGCAACAAAGGTAAAGTCGATTCATGAAAAAGAGTCCGACGAAAAGTTGACGTTCGTCAAAAACTCACACTTGTTGAGCAGGTTGGTGATCGAGGACAGATCGCCCAGATGAATGAGATCAAGGAAAGAGTGGCCAATGAGGTTGGAAACGTCGAAGAGCGAGCTGTGAGTGGACAGGAGAGAATAACAGTATTTCTATCAGAAACATAAAGGGTGTGCGGACGGTCGCACCAAGACAACAACGAGAATGCCGTTAGGCTTGGAAAGCTCGCAGGCGCTAGAGAGTTCGACAAAGACCTACGTCGAAGTTTTAAGAATGCCATTAAACCTTACTGATATTTAGACAACCAAGTCAAGCGTTCCAACAGCCTGTCGTCGTTTATTCCCTAACGGTGGCCGTTTCCTTATAATGCAATGAGGAGAGCGCTTGAGAGAGCTCGACGTCGATAAATCTGGCACTGCCAGCAAACGAGTGTTCGCTGTGGTTGGTGCAATATCGATCATGCCGGTGAAGGCAGCTACGCGGGCTCAGGGATGAAAGAGGCCGATTAAAGTAGCACAAAGGAAGCGTGTGTTTCTGGACCGGTCGTTTAACTACTATAGTGACACTACCGAAACAATTGTAGTAATATGAACACACAAAGTGTAATCTTCCTGCATATGGGAATGATGGAGGCCTGACTGTCTTGATCTTATGGAGAGAGCTGTTTGGCCGCTTTAAGGACTATTTCGCACATCTAGTCATATTTAGACCGAAACCGAATAAATCAGAAAAAGAGTCGTAGGAAGAGAGGGCTGTCGAAGGTAACTTGCGAGTCCGTAATAATGAAATTGCGGGATGACCTCATGACTGCCACAAGTGCCGACAGTCCTCACTAGTTCGTCTGTCCCACTTACCTATGTAACACCTTTCGCAAGAATCAAATGGACGACCGACTGAACACAACAAAGCTTCGTGTTGGGTGGTTTTCACAACATATTCCAGTTCGTTCATTTCTTGATTATGTAGACAATGAAAATGCATGAAGTAACATGGTCAGGAAACGATCGCCCTGATCAAACTACTGAATTCTCGAATTCGCGTCTGGGCTATGTGATTTCATGTCTGCATAGTCTGCATAACCGAAAGCGATTAACATTTTCTGAGGGGATTAAAAAACGACAATTTCTAAACCGGAGAATCAATCAGAAAACACATAAGGAATGCTGGAGGACCCACTGATGAGCCGGACTCCTTGCAGCTGTGCCATAAAGCGGCAGAATATCGGCGAAACACGCGTGTCTGGGCTTGCAGCTAGCAACTGTGCCGCTAGAATGGTATCCTGCAACCCAATATATGCTACTAGCTGCCTGTCGGCAGCTAATGAAAATTACGCGGTTATCCCGCTGTGGTCGACGGGCATCGTCCCAAGTATTCATACATCAATTTCGGTCTACGCACTTGGTTCGATTGCATAGGTTATCTGGCCGAGAGCTCGGGTAGGGCAGGCTGACCTAGAAATACAAAACGCCATGCTACTTTAGCATATTCAGTAGGCTTATTTGTTGTATAAAGTAAGACCGAATAGGAGGTACCGACGATGGACACAACTGCGAAACTAGCCATTGACAGCCGTCATGCTTAGAGTATGGGTAAAACCCGACAAACGATGATCAAAACTCTTTCAGTACACCTTCAAGGGCGAAAAGATACTTGGGCGGAACTGTCAAAATTTACTAATAATAGGGGACATGGTCCCAAATTCATGTCTGAAGAGCAGTGTGCTGACTGCTATATCGTGAGTGATCTTCACTAGTAATCGGTGTTTATTTTTCCACTGGCCCCTGATAACTGCATCGGTTCAATTTCTTTTTTTCAGAAAAGTGCGCAAAAACGTATTTTTTACTTGTTTTGTGAAAACTCATGCCTTCTTAAAATATGGCATGTAAGGGAGAGAACTAGGATTTTTTTTAAAAAAAGTACGCAATCGTCAAATTCCCCGGACTACTCACAAAAACCGTTAGGAGTGAAGTTAATAAGGCATTCAAATGCGTTCGACATCACGCTACTCGGGGTGTACAATGAAGGGGCTGTTCCCAGAGCTCACGCGTCAGAAGATAACACACTCTATCCCTTTTAGAGAGGAGGGGGATGTAATTTCATGTGAAGTTTACATGATAAACAGATCAGACTAATTTCCACGTAAACCTTTCGTTAGTTGATCCTTGACCCTTGTTTTTACTTCTACCAGGTCAAAACAGGTATATGCCAAGAGTTACGCCTGTCTGTAGAAAGTTACCCAAACTCGACGTTCTTGATGTGCATGCTCCGATCGAGATAGGTGAAAAACTGATCTCGCCGGGGAGTCCCGTCGGAGAGCAAGGCAGGACTACCGTCTGCAGCTTGATTTCCACCACCACCATCGCGTCGTTGTTGTCGCCCAGCGAGCAGACGATCCAGGCTGCGACGAGGTGAGCCATCGGTTATCAGTTGACCGATCAGTGAAGGAGTCGAGTCGATGAGGCCGCGTTGCACGACACTGTGGGGTGATGGTATGAATAGGGGCTGTAGGAAGTAGAGATCCAGATGACGAACGGTGTTTGCTTCGTCCTCGAAGAAGGCACCACGGCCATCTGAGACTGTGGAGGAAAACGTCTCCATCGCAGACCAACAACTGACGGATTGAGAGGGACTGGGCACCTGGGAGATTGGCACCTGGGCGGCTGCGAAACAAGAGCAGACCTGGAAACGCAGGGTGGGGGGAGGAGGAAATATAAAAAGATGATCTGCTAGTGCTTCATACTTTTTCGTAGCCTCATCTTAACGGTCTTCCCTCTTCAGTGCGGAATGTGTCCTCTGGCAGAGGCTCCGTCACCCCGTCCAACTTACCAGGGATGTGGGTGACTTGGGTTTGGACGTGTCCGTGGTTGGGGAGGGGGTCGTCTGCCATTGAGAGCTCTTGTTTCGGTAGAGTTGTGAGGACCAAACCATGGCCGAGGGAGGCGTCGCGACTTCCAGGCAACTTCCAGGACGAGAGTGGTTTTGGTGGGAAGGATGGACGGAGGGTTTCGTCGGGGAGGAGGGCTGGAGGATCCGCAGGCGAACCGTTTGGCCGGCGGTCATCAGAGGGCGCCCAAGACTGTTCGACTGCGCCTTCTTAGGATACAGTGAGGGTGACAGAGGGGATGGGGTGGAAGACGCTAAAGTGGCGTCTTCAAGAATCTCGGAGACGTGCTCACCAATCAGATTGATCTGGGACCGGAGGGGTAGGTAGAAGACGCAGTAATTTAGGAGAGGTTAATGAAACAACTATGAATCGCATGGGGCGGGAGTTGGGCTGGACAAAGGACCTACCCAAGGCCAACCCAGGGCTTCTGCAAGAGGGGGCGTCACGTAGGCGATGGTAAGGTTCTTGGGATGCACAAAAAGGCCATAGATGGAGCGGCTGAGAAGGCTTATCAGTGGAGTCGACTGGGTTCCCAGAACTAAAAGAGATAGGAGTGACGTTTGATAGGGGAACCAAAATGGCGCCGCCGAGTGAGAACTGCATCGACACTAGACTCCGAGCATAGGGGCAGGGCGGAAATAGCTCTTACAGTCTTGACATCAAGATAGATTTGTGAACAACGTACTTATGTGACAGCGCGGCCCCGATTTCAGCCTATGGAGTGTGAGTTGATAGCTTGGGTGGACAGATCGCTGGATTTGACAGGGGTTGAGGCCTCTGTAATGCCAGACTGAGAGCTGAATTGATCATAACTGGCCATTACAATGTGCCCAGGCTCTGTCAACATCGTTTCACAAGAAAGTAGGTCAACGTTGACAGCAGAATACCTACAAAATTTCCGCATAGCAAAGGAACTATTTCTCCGACCCCTTTGGGGGAAACAATGGTGGGGGGACAGCGCGTCCGTTTCGCCCCAAAAAACCGTAAATTGTGCCCCGAAAGTCAACTGAAGAAACTCACTTTGTGATAGACTGTTGTAAAGGAACAGAGTCTGCCCAGCTATGCGAATGACTCCTGACTTCTCCAGACCGACGCCTGCCATGCAGGGGGCTGCTGTCGAGTCCTCTGCCCTGAGGCGCGATGCGGCCGATGCCGACGGAGCGTCCAGGGGCACGGGCAAAGCGTGCATGAGCTGGGAGAGAATATTGCTCTCCCTGTTTCGACGTACCTTGGCTGCTAGGCGAGACTTCTCCTTGCGTCGCAGAGCCCGAACTTCTCGGGGACTGAGACCGGTCTGCCTTGATGAGGTGCAGTCGGAAGCCGCAGAAGGAAAGCCATCTTAACAGACAAAAAACTTTTGCTACTCGTTCGTATATTAGTAGCAAATATTTTGCAAGCTAAACATTTAATCACGAAGGGGCCGACTGGTACTTCCTCTCTCCCTTTCAGGCATTTAGCGGAATTTGAACTGAAAACGCCCCTTATGCACAAAAAGAGTCTCAAAATAGGCATTATGTGAAAACAGTGGACATTTAACATGGGCAGTAGGAAGGTAGCGACCGGCCAGACGGCTGTAGGACATGGGAGGCGGTGAACGCTAGAGTATACCGGTTCTTTCCGATGTTGGACCCTCTGTTTTACCTTTGTACTGGAGATATCGCAGACAGACGCGCCTAGAGGTGCAGGCAGTAATCAAACGACTGCGGGACGGAACCGGGGAAAATCGAGTTAGCAGACGTCGCGAGTTGGGACCATTGCATGCACAGGCAGGGGCGATGTAAGAGCACATGATATCACAGTTGCCAACTATGGTAAAAATTCCAACTGTCGCCTCATTCCAACTGTCGCCTCTTTTTTCAGCTGACCTTACCGATGAACTGTCTGCGTCTCAGCAACTGCTTGTTGTCTAGGGGCGAGGGAGAAAAACGTATAATCTACAGACAAGTCAGATCGATCAACCGACGCTAGGCCCATGCGACTGTGGGTATCGCGTTGCCTAGTAGAACTTTGCAGTCGTTGGCTCTACTTATGAAGGCAAAATTCGCTCCACCCGTCATTGTTGTTTACTACCTCTTCCCTTGGTTGGGTCAGTTGATGGGGCAGTTTCTATAAGAAAAATTGTTCAGTCTGGCATTAAAGTATTTGCCAAGCCAGTCTTTGAGGTTTTCACTTTTGCCGATTGTAACGCCACCCCATTGCAGTGGGGCGCGGCAGAACGTTTTTTGATGATTTGTTGGACCACGTGAGATCGGGTATTGTCATGCTGCAAAATAAGTTGACTCTGACGGTCCGGCGTCAAGAGACGCAGATGGGCTGCGTGTTAGAGGTTCTTGTGAAGGAGACACGGTCGCCTGACGTTACGGATTCCTGCTCGAACCCACCATCAGAGACATAAGCAAGTACGGGTGGTTCATGCACAAGGAGCTGCAGTATTTATAGGATGCAGTCGCCATGCTACCGCATACCTATGAATATTCACGGCTCCCGCCTTCATCAGGGATCGTTGCACTTGGTATAATGACTGATAGCCGACATTCACGTCGTTAATTGTTGCAATCTCATCATGTGTATTGGATGTTGGTGTTATGATTGGTTGACAATCTGACCCACCGACCCTGGTGTTGGGAACAGTATTCGCCTCTGCGTTTCCCGCGTGGCAAATTACTTCGCATAGACGAAGTCTCAGCATCGAGTACGGAAGGGGAAGGTCGTTGTACTTGTTGATGGACTGGGCGCCAGTGAACCATGACTCAAGCAGCTCTCGGCTCACGTGGTTGTCAGATCTAGCGAGAATTTCAGCCTCTTCAAATTTGAATGTGTGGCCGGATCTCGTCGAATGAGCCACAGCTCGTGTTCGCGTCATTTCTCTGCACGATGCAGCATGTTCGGGCATTCTCGTTCGGAGCTGTCTTCCGGTTCTCCTACGTAGTTGATTTGTCCACAATTACACCAGATCCGATAAATAACTCGAGACGTTTTTCACCGTGGCAGCGGGTCTTTTGGTTTCATTAACTGACGCCTGATGGTTCCCTCCGGTCTGTGTGCAACTCCGAGCCCAAGTGGTGCGAGAAGGCGGCCAACAGCTTCCGAAACGTTCTTGACGTACGGAAGCGCTAGCCAAAATTTGGGGTCCATGCGGTTTGACCTTTCGTCCCTTTTGCGTATGCACTGGTTGACGAAGTTGTGCGGGTAGGCATTGGCTTTCATGACCCGCCGGAAGTATTGTAGTTAGGTAATCTTATCTTCCGGTTCACTGCAGTTCTTGTCCATCGTCTGGTTTAGCTCGAGCACCTTCTACTGAATCACGACCTCGTGATCTCATCACACACAAATCATGCCAATTCAAGGATGAAGAACCTGCTCCGGTAGAGATGTAGTTTGCACATTGTGACTCACCTACTCCTTTTTTTGCTCCGTATCGACGCAAACGCACCATTCCCCACGGTCAAAGAATGAGTTTATACCGCAGACACAAGCGTATCAGCAGCCAAAGGAGGGCGCTGATGTTCGCTGTTTCGTCTGTTTTAGGCCTTTTAAATTGCACCATCGACTCCAAGTGGTAGAAGCCGGTCAGATGATGTCAGTACATATTTTTCATCAATTTTCTGACGGCTTATCGACCACTTTCCTCCAAAAGTGCATTCAGACACCCCCGTCAAAGTCAGTTGGCTGTTCGTAGCCGGGGCGTGTCTTTGATTTCGAATCTGCCATTATTAACTTTTACGAACTGATATTAAGAATTTTTTCAGGCATAGCGTCTTCACGGTACGCAGCTCTAATGTCACGGGTAGCTTTGGTGACTTTCAGGTCTTGACTCAACGCGTAAAGAAACTGGTGTCGAAAATGCCTCCTTGTCAGCTTGATTCCTCATTACTTCAGGTTAAAAATCAGGAAATAGTGAATGCCACAGAAAAAAGCGAGAATTTCCTTGCAGAAGAGCAAAAACTGCTTTCTAATACTGCGCAACACTTACCCCAACAAGGCGAGTTGACGAAAAAATTGCGTGCGAAGGGAAAAACTACAAAGACTTACTACTTAACCCAATAATTTTATTGCAGCTGGCTAAGTAAAATTCCAATTCGCCCGCGGTGCGTCTCGGTGAAAGAAAAGCGGTCGTAGTTACGAGGAATCGTAACTCATCCCAAGTGCTTGGCGCCTAACCGACTAGCATTGCTCTTTTGGTGTTAGCTCACAAAATGGGGCCGGTCCACCCGAGTTCAATCGGCGGAGAAGGGGGGGGGCCTAGGGCCTGCATACGCGGGCACGAGTTTTCGGACCAACTACTGGGTTCCTATACTTCACGTAGATTGTGTCCCTCCCCCCTCCCGACTGAGGCTTGGATCGCAGAGCCATGGACCATGTCTCGCCTTCTGCTCGCAGAAGTTGCTGCAGGTTGCAATACAATGTTGCCACTGCTTGCTGCGGCAAATGACGGCAACTCCGTCGGTGACAAAGCTCGTCATGCCGAAAATACAATAGGTGACGAAAGTCATGAACAGATGACGGGAATTTTCGGGCGAATTAACAAAGGAAACTAAAATATGAACTAGCATACAATATGATCAAATACACGCCAGTCTGCCGAATTTCAGTCGAGCATCCATGCAGCAGGGTTGCTGCACATTTGTCAGTGTCCCTCTAGAGAACACGCGTGATTCATAACTGTTGAGGAACTGTTATTACCGACAAAGACAAGGAAGACTGGTGATCGTGTCTTCTTCTTCTTCTTCTTCTTCTTCTTCTTCTTCTTCTTCTTCTTCTTATTTTTCTTCTTCAAGAAGACCGGAATGGCCATTTCTGGCTTATTAGCCGTCGTCAGCCAATCATACCCAACTCCGAAGTGTGGGTCACCCTGCACTACCCCCCCTATCATTGTATATTCCCGATCGAAAACCGACAGGGCAACGGACTCGTGGCTCAGCGGTTAGAGACGTGGACTTCTAACAGGTCGCGAGTTCGAGGCTCGGGTGTTCCACACTCGGGGGTTGGGTATGACTGGCTGACGACGGCTAACAAGCCAGAAATGGTCATTCTAGTCTCCCTTGTCTTTGTCGGTAATAACATTCTGCCTATCTCATGCGCCGCTGTGCGACTGCTGGTTGGGCTCGAGAGAGAGCCCGTAAGGCACAACGGAACGAGTGAGTTCCGTAAGAACGATCGGTGAGCGCCCTCCCACCATTGTTGAGGAACTCTTTGACTAATGGGTGGTCTTCTGCTGATTGCGCAGGGGAAGGACTCCAATTAGCAGTCGTTATACTGTGGATCGTGTCATACGAAAATGTGGGTAATTGGTTGGAGGTTTACGAGTGGAACAGCACGCCGGACAGTAAACAGACAGAATTCAGGAAAACACAGAAGGCGGTCGGTGGCAGAAACGATTCTTTCGGATGAAATGATGAATGTACGCAGATACGGCATCCAGCCGGGTATTCAATGGCGTTCCATCTTGGCAGAGTGCTTGACCATCGAGCAACTGAGCCTATCCCCTAGCAGACATTTCTCTTATCTCTCAATTCATACTCAGTTAATCTCCGTTTTTGTTTCTCTGCTCTTGGGTGTAACTGCCAGTCATCGGTGCTTAAACAGGCTTCGCAAGTACATACATCAACAGACGATCCGCAGTCTACCGACAGCTATAATAGGTGGGTTACCTCATGAAATGTCAACCAAAATTTCGAAATGCATTCTCCTTCCGAAAAGATAAATTAAGTAGTGTTGTAAAACTAATCACGATGCAGCATAAATCTATAATGATCCAGTTAACTCAGGGTGTTGGCTTTCGAAAAAACTTATTGTCGGCTACATGCAGGATCCATACTCTGCAAAAAATGACTACCTAGATGGCATGCAAATTTCATTATATTTCATGGAAAACATGCATAAAAATATTCGCTCTTTCGTTCATTCGGTAGAAAATTACGTCTTCTTCCAATTCTATACTCGGAGGAAGGGGAAAATTCGGTTTTCGAAAAGTTCCTAACTGTGAGACTTTTTTAATACCGTGAAATGCCCGCTCATGAAACACCGTGTCTCTGCATTTACCAATGTGGCTCATGAAGTTAACAACATGGTTCAAACTCACTGCTGAATTTTATGAACCCCATATGGTGTCCACTTAATACCGTAGAGAAACGTATGGTTTTCCGTACGCGGAAAATATGTGGTTTGTAGTTTGGAAACCCTGAATGCGAGTGTGACGATTAGGGTCCTTTACCCTACCGTTGCTTATATATCTTTTTTTCTATGTAGAATGCTCATAGCATGCAGTTTAGAAACGCAAGCGTAACAGTAAACTGGGCTTAAAACGGTAAAACAATTGGCAAACATTCATCACAACCAGGGGGCAGACTTCTTTCAGGCAAACAGTTCGAAACAGGCCTAACTTTATACAACAGTCGCGTAATAAGTGAACCTTTAGCGTATTTATTCCTCTTAAACAGGATCAAAGTTATGCGGACCTGAAATGTCTATGGGAAAGGTGCACTTTACATAAGTAGTCATTTTGGCGGGCAGGGAAAGACACTCGATCGGAAGACAGCGTCCTTGCACGTATGAAGTACTTCCAGATTATATTGCATGCCAGTCAGTATTGTGGCTTAATGTAAGAAATCCTTTTCACTTGAAAGCTTCAGTCAGATGTAGTTATGCAGCCCCACCCGATGTAAACAAACTCCAGTCACCTATAAAACGGGACCGGTGGTAATGGGGTTTTTTATAGGTTGAGCCGAAAAACGCACGGGCGCCGAGATCAAGTAATTATATACAAAAGAAAAGCTATTGGGAGTGCGCGGTTGCACTTTGAGTGGTTAGGAACTAGACGCCCTAACCTCTAACCCTAACCTCAAACCCTAATTCCTGACACTTACCCTTAACTCTTACCCCTGACCCTACTTCCGAACTCCTAATCCTTACACCCAACCCTAACCCCCCAACAGTATTGTGTCCATTAGGTGCGGCTGCATAACCACATCTTACCAAAGCTTCTTCCAAAATGTCATTATAGGAGTCCTGAAGTTCGCCACACATATCGCAATTAAAACGAACTATGAACATAGTGAATAAAAGCAAGGAGGACAGGTTAGAGTGACGCTTGTGACATGAGTTTCGGTGATGGTGTGTGGTAGGCGTTTCCAACTAGAATTATATCCCCCAGACTGAGATCCAACCGTCAGATCACACGGCGTAGAGTACCCTATAAGGCACATCGGGGATGTGTTGAAGTTCGAATCCGAATAAATTAGGCCGCGACGCTGGATTAGGCAGGTACAATATTGCTAAACAACACTAACGTCACCTACTTGTGCTTCATGCCAGGTGTTCTGAAAATGTTCTGTACAGATGGCCCACAACAGCTCGCTGGAGCTGGATCGCACCATGAGTAAAAGTGGCTACTTAAGTAGTATGAATTTTTCTCATTGATTTTCGGTGTCCCTATGAACTCAAAGGTAACTCAAAAAGCATGCATGTTCATACTCTTACTAATTTGGTAGAAAATTGCGTCTTCTTTATATTTTGCACTTAGGGGACGGGTATAGTTAGGTTTTAAAAACTTTTCCAATTCCCGAAGAATTTTGAACCCGACTTGCCGTTACACTTGCATTCAGGGTTTCCAAAGTACAGGATGTATTATTTTTGGTGTACGGAAAATCATACATTTCTATACAGCATTATGAGGAGACCATATGGGGTTCAGATGACTTAACAGTGGATTTGGGTCATATGTTTAACTTTACAAGCCACATTGGTAAATGCAGAAACATGATGTTTTATGAACGAGTATTTCACGGTCTTAAAAATCTCATAATTAGCAACCTTTTACAGACCGAATTATGGCCTTCCCTCAAATATAAAATTTAAAGAAGACGTAATTTTCTACCAAATGTGTAAAGGAATGAATGCTTTCTATGAGGTATATTTGAATTTATAAGGGCATTGAAAACCAATGAGAAAACTTCGAGCTGCATAAATAGTCGTTTTACTGAGTGTAATTTTAGCAGACACAGAAAAAGAAGTTCCTTCGAAATCCAGTATCCAGAAGTAACTGATTTATCGTAGGGTTATACTCCACGATAATTAATATTACAACCCTACTTAAGCAAACTTTTGAGCCAAAAAACGCATTTCAAAATCTCGGTTAGCCGTTCATGAGTTAGCACACCTACTGTATGCTTATACTACGCTGTGTTACAGTACTTTGTAGGCCAACCAGTGTGCCGGTGGTAATGCCGCTTCTAATCAGCGAATGACTAGTCATCGGTCATGTTGGGTCCTAGTTTCCTCCCGACAAAGATCTCTTCTGGACATGCCAGGTAGCCCAGTAGGTGAGTGAAGAGATCGGGTGGGATTTCTGCAGTAAGAGTGTATTGCCTGCGACTTTGAGATAAATATGCAGTCCTCATCGTGGGAAATACCAACAGTAAGAGCAGCCAGCTGAAGTCCCTACATAAAAGAAGTCACAGAGGCGGTTTCTCCATTTTTACAAGCCGCCAGAGTAGACATAACCCATCGACCCCAGACAACAATTTGCCGCCGTGTGATGCGACTTAAGGAGAGATCGCCCCCTTTTTGAGGCCACGACATCTGCCTGCCAAGTATGTTGCAATTATGGGGACTGCAACTACGTCGGAGAAAGCGAATGCAAACTGCATGTCCGCCTACATGAGTACAAGCAGTGTAATTCGGAGGCTAGACCTATACGCGTAGCTTGCAAATAATATTGGAAAAACTGGCCACAGCTTTGACCTTCAAGGAGCGACAATCTTAGGTTGAGGCACCTTAAAAAGAACAACTAGCTCTTGAGACATGGTATTCAGATGCCAACTCTATAAATAGGCATCCAAACCTTATCGTGGCTTGTAAAGACCAGGACGGGCTGGTCACCATGAACCTAAGACATCTGCACGCGACGAGGTCACTCGACAGGGAAGGCAGAGTTATAAGCGCCCTCCATGGAGGTGACGACGGGTACCGCCAGCGTACGTCAAAAGGCTCGGACAGCGACTAGCTCAGTCGTTTATTCAAACTTTTGGTCAACTTTCGGCACTAATCGTTTTGAAAACGGACAACCAGCCAAGCTCTCCGAAGCGTCAGCAGGAGAACAAATTTGTTCCGATGAGCAAATTCAGTTTCATAGGCTTAGCGCACTGTTAAGTGATTACACGTTGGAGGAGTGCATTTCAAATGACGAGACAGAATCCATGACACACTGATGACTGGAAATGAACCCGAAACAAAATCATGTTCCAGGTTACCCATGCAAGTGACTTGGAAACTTATTTCACATGAAGAACGGAACTTTTCGCGACGGGCTGGGCGATTTAGTAAAACGCACAACATTTTAGAAGTTCCGAAATGGTCATCTCAGTTTCCGGCATTAAGTTTCATGAATTGGATCACATACTGTATAATTCAAAACCATGATAGTTCGGCCGTTGCAACCGACGATGTCCACAATATGCGCTCCACAACAAGCCGAACCAGGCACGATGACTTTCGCAGCGTCCACCGCACTCTCTCCTCCTCCCCCACCTGGGCACGGTGTCAAAACACAGTCAAGAAGACCGGAGGCGAGGGAGGGCGCGGGTGGCCTGCATGACCGGACTCACACCCAGGTGTACCACCACACCGCCTGGTCCAAAACAAACACTTGACTAGGACCTTGACCGACAGGAACACCCCGAGGAGTCAGAAGGACGAGGATGATTGGGCAGTGATGCTGAAGACCTGCATACTCAGTAGGAGCGCAAGCACATCTACCGACAGAGAACCAGGTGCCACGGAAGGGCCTGCACACACCAGGCTGCGAGGGCCATGGTTTGCCGAATCATGGCGTGGCGCGACTCCCGTAGACTGGTTTGGCCCACTTAACTGTCGAAGTCCGACAATACCAGACTGTGACCTAACGAATTCACATAGGCCTCGACCGGGGGGAGGCTCCAGCCCAAATTTGGATCTACAGGCGTAATGTTAAGCAAACAAATCAGCTCGAAGTCTGAGTAAAACGATAAGGGGAGGGAGTGCTGGTTGTAGTTTCAATGTCACTGCTGATTGTCAGGGCGGTACTGAAATCACCGAAAATTTCCAGCGAACATCTCTTAACGTGGATGTCAAACACAAGGGGAAAATTCAGATCATACTGTTGTTGAACTCGCCTGGATTGTTGCTGAAGACGCAGTCGGTAGATGATGACAGTGATTAGCGCGAGTAAGCAACGAAATCCTAATTACAGCTGACTAAACAATACTTTCTCCAAATTGATGAGAGCCCCCAAACTTGTATCTGGGCAGGGAGTTTGTAAAACGACCGATGGACATGGTTACCTGATGATGTCTGATGTCCGAGAAATCGCTATCCCACTGTCCCTTGTCATCGTCGATACTCCTCCTCCTCCTCTTGCTTAATTGTCCGCCCGCCTGCGAAGTCTGTAGATTGAGCCTCAAGGTGCAACAGAAAGAGCACGTCCCGTAATCTGAGTAGCTAACGTCTTTCCTACGAAACCCAAACCCTACCACCCAACCTCCAAGACCTTGCGCCTTTTTCAGTCACGACGAGGTCAAATCGGTAGGTGTCCTTCGCAGAAAAGTGTGAATATCGCAGTGGCCGCGCGCGTGGACTTGCGTCGTCCATTGGCGGAACTTCGGATCTCGCTCGATCCAAAAAATGCCCACCGAGGTCATTATCCGAAGACCTCCCAGCCTGAAACTGATGTGTAGAGATGATAACTGAGTCCCAAATGATCCATCACGTCTCTGGCGGCAAAAGAAGCCCTAGCTGTTTGTGACATTGCGATATCGTGAATTACAATTAGCGGCAGCGGATAGCCATTTCTATCCCCAGACCGGACCTCACTTTGTCCAGCCGAATAGTGCCGGAATTAGCAGCCAAGTGACGTTTAGCCCCCGGTCGCGTGCATTCACGCAGGCACTTCTGCAGGTCAGCTGAACACTGCTCGCAGGGGACCTGTGAATATTCCGATAGCAGGCAGTGAGATGGGAACTCCACTACCAAAGCGCCTGTCGCCATGACCAAATGGACTCACATTCAGCTCAGACGTCTCTCCGACCTGGAGTTGTTGACGACGACAAATCGACAAGAACGGTTGATTGCACACCGTCATGCAAGCGTCCACGGGAGTTCTAAACCGAAACCACTGTACTTCATCATACATCCGGGCAGATGAATGCCCGCGACTCCCATGAGGGTTATCACACTCGCAGGCAGTCAGGCGATAGCCAGTCCGAATTGCTGGTTCACATGGTTGAGCGCTCCGTCCAATTCCCAGATCAGCTTGAATATCACATTTTTAAATCGGGAACAATGGAGAGCAAGAGAATATCGTCAGACACATCCCTAATGTCGGTCTAAAATTTGCTTCTTTTCGTGGAAATATTCAAACCAGCACGCAATCGAGTAATCATTGGGCGGGTACAAGATTGGCGACAGGATGTACCCGAAGTCAGGCTTGATGTCACCAGATTTCTCGTTATGAATTATTTCCTGTCGGTTCAACTTTTCGCAAAAGCATCTCACCATAACTGCTCTATTTTATACTTTAAAGGAGTGCTATTTGGTTCCGCGAAAACTGAAAGCAAGTTTGCCGCCGTGAGCAGATTTTCGTCGAGATAAAACGGCACACGCGTGCGCACACAACAGGAAGCGATTAATGGGCGAACATCCTTCTGAGCCACCTGTCATACTACAGCCGGCTTGTCTACTGAGTGAATTCAAAGCGCCTACAGACTGCGCACAAAAAAATCGCGTTTACTTCCCTATTTCATCTCTAACTCGGAAAGGAAGTGCTATTTATGGGTATTCAGAAGAAGTAGGAGAGTCTTGGCCCATTGTGCCTGGACTGTTTGCCCTCCAGAGGGGAATTCCGGTCGCGAACAAAACCTGAAGTCAGTTTTCGAGGGGGAAATAAACCAAATAGGTCCTGCTTGAACAGATTAATTGTCCACGAATTGGTTAGAGAGAGGGTAAAGCGAACAGGGTCACCGCATTAAAAAGGCCTAAATCCAACTGTAAAAACGCCCTAATTTTTTGCCATAACAGCAAAACACTAGACGTGGCAAAAAATTACTGTGGCCAATGACCAGAACAAAAAGCATTCGTCACCTGCGGCTTTTAGTTGGGTTTGGCAGGCAGCAGACCGGAGGATCGAGTACGATCCTCATCACAACAACGAGGGTCGCGCGCCTTCTTGGCATGCATATATGCATACATATATATGGTAGATGTGCCAACTCATTAAATATTGACCGAAATTCTGAAATGCGCTTTCGATCCGAAAAATTTCCTCATATAGGGTTGTAATATTAATTACCTTGTAGCATAATCCCTTAATCATTCAGTTACTTCAGGATGTCGGCTTTCAAACGAACTTATTTCTGGACGTCTGCAATAACAACACTCTGTAAAGATTGACTACTTAAACAGCATGGATTTTTTCATTGATTTTCGATGCACTTACAAATTCAAATATATTTCATAGAAGGCATGCATAAAAATATTCGTCCTTTCATTAATTTGGTAGAAAATTGCGTTTTCTTCAAACCTTTACATTTGAAGGAAAGACGTAATTCGGTTTTAAAAAACTTTTCCAATTCCCGAATAATTTTGAATACGACCTGCCCTTACACTCGCATTTAAAGCTTTCAAACTACAAGTTGCATATTTTCTATGCATGGAAAACCATACATTTCTAGATGGCGTTAAGCGACGACAATATGGGGTCTATAAAATTTAGTAGTGGATTAAAACCATGTTGTAAACTTTACAAGCAACATTAGTAAATGCAGAGACACTTGGCTTTATGAACGGGCATTTCATGGTCTTCAAAATCTCATGATTAGAAACTCTTTGAAAGCCGAATTATGTTTTCCCTTCAAGTATAAAATTTAAAGAGAATGTAATTTTCCACCAAATGAGTGAAAGAATGAATATTTTTACACATGTTTCCTATGAGATGAATTCATAAGAGCATCGAAAATAAATGAGAAAATTTCGTGCTGCATGAGTGATCATTCGATACAGAGTGCATTTTTTGCAAGCTGTCAGAAAGAAGTTCGTTCAAAGACCGGCAACATGAATTATCATGGGATTATGCTGCATGGTGATTAATCTTTTCAGACCGAAAACGCATTTCAGAATTTCGGTCAACATTTCGATGAGCTAGCACATCTGTTATATAATTTCGATTAATAGATAGTATAGTTAGCTAGTGAGTGATGGGTAATTAGACTTGACATGGCGAAGTAGGGTAACGGACCGCGATAACACAAAGAAGTACGCGGTTACTCTGTGATATTACGATGTTGTAATTTCATAGATCAGGAAAATCTTTCGCCAAGAAAGTAAATCGTCTAGAGCAGCCCATACTGCTCTCCTCAGTCAAACCCGTAGATCACAAAACAGCATTTTAAAGGCGCTGAACACCTTAATGAGAAAAGACAGCGAACCTACTGCCTTACCGGCTCGACAAAAGGCAGAAGTCGGTCGATTGATCAGGCCAGCCGGCTTCTTCGGTTTTGTCTGGGTTACAGAGAGGCACTTGGAAGACAAGATGGATGTGGCAGATGCCGAGGCGGTGAGAGTAGTTTGGAGAGGTTGGGTGCGCTTCCGGGATGCCCCGATGCGATCCGTAGAAGAGAGGGGGACGCTGGTGCCCCCCACCGTGGCTGCTGTACAACTTGTGCTACTACCCATGGAGAAGAGGGAAGGTGAGGTGGAGCTAGATGAGGAGGAGGGGGAGGAAAAATCAAGGACACCGCAGGCTTCCTTCGCAGCGTCAGTGGCCGCCACCACCACCACCGACGACGAAGAGCCGGTGGAGAAGGGGCTGTTTCCATCAACGCCTGAGATTGGGGGAGAAGTAGGTGCGGAGGAAAGATCAGCAAGGCATGGTGCGAAATCTAGGTGGATACAGTTGGGCGGACCGAGACCGGAGATCGCAGGAGAACTACACCTGCAGAAAGACAAGGGAGAAAAGTGCATGTTAGTTATGAATCGTCAAGATATATATATCCAGAATGATGTCACCGAGAGAGACAGAGCAGACTGGAATAGTCATTTCTGGCTTGTTAACCGTCGTCAGTCAGTCATTCCAGACCCCGAAGTGTGGAACACCCTGGGACGAGTGAGTACCGTAGAAACGATCGGTGAGCGCCCCTCTACCATTGCATATTCCCGATCGCAACCGACAAGACAGCGGGCCCGTGACCCAGTGGTTGGGGGCGTTGCACTTCCAACCAACAGGTTGCGAGTTCGAGCCTCGGGTGTTCCACAATTGGGGGTTGGGTATGACTGGCTGACGAGGGCCAGAAATGGCCGTTCCAGTCTCCCCTGTCTTTGTCGATAACACCATTCCGCCTATATCATGCGCCGCTGTGCGGCTGCTGGTTGGACTCGAGAGGGAGAGCCCGTAAGGCACAACGGGACGAGTGAGTTCCGTAAGAACAATCGGTGAGCGCTTCTCTACCATATATATATATATATGACTAGAAGCGAGAATTCTGACCTCAGGTGTTGAGATGGAAGAAGAAGGTAAGGCGATCTCTGGGGAGAAAGATTTAATCATCTGACGTTTCGTAGTCGTACTCGAGCACGTCATCGGAGACAGGCCAAATGAGAAATATATGGTTTAAGTAGGTCATTCGCACTCGCGCCTGATAGGTCGATCCCGCTCTCCTCTTATTGGCCCTGCTATCGCGCGCAAGTGGTGCCTGATGGCCTCGTATGGCGCTGGTAGGTCAATACTGCGATTGATAGAGTTGGCGTCTGATTGCCAGGCTTCGATTCCTTCTCCTGCCAGCTTGCTTTCGGCTCGGCCGAGTACTTGGGCACCGTCAAAGTCGAACAAGTGACTATGTTCTAGACTGTGCATGGCGACGTGTGAGCATACATCCTTTCGTTTTACGACTAAGACGTGTTCATGCAAGCGCGTGCGCAGTCGTTTATCCGTCATGCCGCAGTAGTTGGCCAGACAGGCTAGACATTTGACGCGGTAAATGACGCCTGACGTGTCTGCAGGTGGTAGCCGGCCCTTGGGTTGCATGAGTAAGCGGCGGATGGTGGCCTCCGGTCGGTGACCAACACCCACACTTAGTGACCTTAGCATGCGCTCAGTGGCTTCGGAGATGTTCCTCACGTAAGGCAGAACGTGGAAGATTTCAGGTCTTTGCGTGTTCTCACGGCCAGACCTCCTATGTCTTTGGTATAGGCATTTGTTAACAAAACTGCGCGGATATCCATTGGCAAGGAAGAGGTGCCATAGGGTTTCACGCTTCCGCAGTTTCTCGGCTTCCGTGCTGCAGTGTATGCTGATGCGGCCAAAGTGAAGAAGTTTCTCCGTGTTTGTCGCTTTTCGAAAGGCACCGGTCTGGAGGGTTACGTCTTCTTGCCTCGTTACCTGAACTTCGAGGAAAGGAAACACTCCGTCACCAACAGCGACCATCCCGTCGCGGAGCTTGTTTGCTTCGTGAAGCCAATACATTGGTGTGCGCCCCTTCCTGATTGAATATATAGATATTATGACAGATGGGCGCTCACCGATCAGGTTACAGAACTTGCTCGTTCTGTTGTGCCTTGGGGCTCATACTTGAACCCTCGCAGGCAGTCGCACAGCGACTAGTGATATATGTAGATGAGGTGATACCGACAAAGACAAGGAAGACCGGAATGGCCATTTCTGGCTTATTAGCCGCCATTAGCCAGTCATACTTAAAGACAAGTGTTAACTAGCGTCCACGTGCAGTTATGTAAAAAAATCAATAAGGAGTTAGTTTAGGCATTCAACAAAAAACAATCAACCAATTATGAATGTTGAAAATTGTTGTTCACAGTACTTCAGAAGGCCGAAACACTGCAACACTGATAATGGCGTTAGTGAAGTCTAAGAGCCAGACTGACTAGTGTTCATCCGCTTCCCCTCCCGTTAATTCCCCCCATTCTACACGAACCGGAGGAGTTTGAACATCCACTGCTCTTTCATACAGTGAACCTGTTGGCATCCTAAGCAAGCTAGTGAAACCAGTCCTCCGAATACCCGTAAACGACATCAGGATAATTCCAGTAACGGTGGTGATTGCAAAAGTAGTGATTGTTTGGAATTTTGGAACGCTGGAGGGGGTTTTTTGTCAACTCAGAGCCGTAAAGGTTCCGCCATTAGCTTCGGAAAATCCGATATTCACATAGGAAGTCGTTATAGTCCATGAGTGAATCAAGTAGCCCTGCTTTTCCCCCTTCGTACCTACGGGATAGAGCTAACCTACACCACATAACCTGAGATCAAAACAGGTCAAATTGCGTGGTTTCTGTCGGAAGAATAGTAATCTGATAATTTCGGAACTACGAAAAAAGTGTCTGGGACGCGACATTTAAGAGTAGGCTCCGAAATTTCAGCAAACATTTGCGCCGAAGTCAAATCGGATTCTGTGGAATAACCGCCTGTGTCAGTTCAGAGAAAAAAGTGGTATAATTTTATAGGTCGGCAAGCGCACCATACAGTCAGGGGTCCAGCCACGTGTTTCGCCGAGACCTCTGTTGCATCAAAGGAGTATTCATAGCCTTCGAGCCGTATATACTATATAAAGCCCCGTTTCCAATGTCGCTCTAATGCTCTTCCGAGAAATCGACGGAAATACTCGGGTCCTGACAATTCAGGGTCGATCCCAAGTTTGTTTTGAACGTCTGACCAGAGGGCAGTCACGACCTGCAGCATGATTGCACAACTGAAACATCTGCAAAAGCGAGCAGTTGGTTATACAGACCCTGCCAGCACATGATGCCTTCCAAGTACCGGGGGAGGGCTGGGATGGACCGAAGAATTCACTCCAAGTTCGAACATTAATTTCCTTGGCAAGTAAACAAACCAATACTGCAAGTCTTTGCAGTAAAGATAGCGCGCATGCGTCCCTTTCGTAGATCACTCCCGTAGAAACAATCGTACAAGTTTTCGGAGGGTTGGAATGGGCTGAGTCACCTGTTTAAATCTCAGTCGTTGGTCCCGCCCTACGAGGGATGGACGGGACCGATCGACAGGAATTCCAGCAGGTGACTCAGTCCACTTCAACCCTCCGAAAACTTTTACGATTGTTTCTACGGGTGTGATCTGAGAAAGGGACGCATGCATGCTATCTTTACTGCAAAGACTTGCAGTATTGTTTTGTTTACTTGCCGAGGAAATTAATGTTCGAACTTGGAGTGAATTCTTCGGAATAGACCTTTTTGGGCGCGGTCCGAAAGTTGATCTGAATATTTGAGTCGCCGTTGCCTGCCGAGGAATCTACTCCGAGGAAATTAAAGAAGGCAAGATGGAACTGGGGTTCATATACCGGAAAACACACGGGGAGGGCTGGAGGACCCCCTGATGTGCCGGATCCCTCGCAGCGGCACAATATCGGGTGAAACCCGCGTGTCTGGGCTTTTAGTTAATGCCTGTGTTTTCAATATGGTAACTAATTACATAATCGTATGCTACTGGCTGCCTGTTGGCAGTTTGTGAATATTATGCGGTTATTTCTCAGTAGCTCATGCATTTCAGCCCAAATATTCATATAAACTTTCAGACCGAGCCTGCTCTGAAGAATTCAAGTTCACGCATTTATTTTCTCGGAACTTAAACAAGGCAAGTTGACGCAGGAGTTCATATTGCCAGGAAACACACGGGAAAGGCTGGGGGATCCACTGATGAGCCGAATCCTTCGCAGCTGCCTCAGGCAGCGGCACAAGATCGACGAAGCACGTGTGTGTCGGCTTTTGGCTAGTGCCTGTGTTGTCAGTATGGTAAATAATTACACACCTGCAGTATTATTGATCAGATGCGTTAAAGACGGACAACCCCTCGCACTAGGTCATGGCTCCCTCCATCCCAATTTGACCCGTACTTTGGCCGAGGCCATGCGCTAGCAGGGACGTACGCATCGATGATACTTCAGATTAAAGAAAACGGCTGACCAGCATCTTTCAAGACACGTGAATAGATTACAAGATTTGCGACTCTTGCAGTGTGAATATGTTTTTCGCTGATTGTCGATGTTGGTATGGAGTTGAACAAGGATTTTATGAGGTATGCGCAGGAGATCAATTCGCATGCTCCCTTCGTAAGAAACTGCGTTATTTCCTAAAGTCCACAGTTGAGGGTTAGAAAGGCTTCAGTTACGAGACGAGAACGATGTATCTCGCCAGGGAGCTTCTCTGATTCAGATCAATTTAAGTCTATAGGTTCGCAGAACACTGTGATATACACAGATTTCCTTGAATACTTGGTGAGCTTTAAAAACAAACCGAAGAATAAAGGGCTACGTGAGTAACACGCGAGCGTTCTAAAAAGCCCCATAAGTTAGGAAATCTTCAGAACCAAAGTATTCCTACCTTTCAAGCAGATTTAAAAACTCAATTTTTCTATAAAATGCCCACAAGAGTGCGTCCTGTCTGTATGCTTTAGACAAAATACGAATGTCTGCACACGCGAACCCAAGTAATGAGAAAGTGCACACTACCTAATTAATGATTTTAATTCAAACAATATTTGCACAGACTTTCGGTACCATTATTAATCAGGTGGGCCACGGCTCTCCCAATTTACACCGCACTTGGGACAGGGCCATGTGCTGGCGATATCGACGATATTTCCGATAAAAGGGCCGTCTTAGTTGGGATGGCACAAAGGAATGACAGAGAACAAGGCGACAGCTGCGTTGTAGAATGCCGGCTCATTTGACGCGGCGTCTGTCCAGCCACGCGTACAGATTATGAAAGTCGCTAGTTAAGCCGTGCGGATGCTTATTTCGCTGATTGACGATGCTCATACAGAGTACACACAAGACATCGGTTCTTATGCTCTCCTTAAGTCATCCTTAAGTTACAGGCGAAGGCTGGCAAAACTTCAGTTCTGAAATAAAAACGGTGTATCTAAGGGGTTTCGTCATCTCCGAAATATACGTCATACAGTTTCTTTAAACCATATCAATTTGAGTCTACAGGTTCGCAGAACACTGTCATATACATAGATTTCCTTGAAAATAAGTAAGATTCTTTGGGAAGAGAATAAACTTTAATGCGTAAATTTTCGAGAATGGGTCCCCAGCTCGTCGTCAGACTTTTGGGCTTTGTACAGAAAGTCAACGATTTAACCGTGTTGAACAAGTGAGTCTATGGTTGGCCGAAGCCTGCGCCAATGCGCATCAATGATTTTCGTCATCCCCTCGGCATTGGCTGCGCTCGCTTCCATTTGTCCTTGAGAAATTTGCATGTGGCATCTCAATCGATATGCCGATTGATGCATGCCTCATCTAAGTGCATTGCCTTTCCTTATTGGGCAGGCGCCAACAATGCGAGCGTCCTCCCATGCAAATTTGTGTCCAGTGTCCAGTGTAGACATAGCAACCTGGGATAGATGATCTCGTCTCCTCGCCGCTAACAGATGCTCATGTATGCGGGCAGAGGTAGATTTCCCAGTTTGGCCACAATACACGGCATCACAACTGGAATACGGCATTTTGTAGGTAACACCTTTTCTATCAAGGTAGCCAACCCTGTCCTTAGGGTGTACAAGCTGTGTACGCAAGGTGGTTGTAGGTTGGTGTGCTACTTGTATCTGACGCTTTTTCAGCTGTCTTTCGACGAGTTCAGAAACATTTTTCACGTATGGGAGGGTCCGCCAGGTGAACTTTTTTGGTGCCTGAGTGGCCGCTGTTTTCGAAATACCTTTCTGCTTAGACTCGTGTTTCACGCAATGACGTACAAAGTGGCGCGGGTACCCGTTGTGGGAAAATAATTTAATTCTGCTTGATAAATTTCTTCATCAGAGCAGTGTGTTTTAGCTCGGTTTAGCAGGCTGTAGACTGTACTCCTCTTGTGAGAGATGGGATGGTTACTCTCAAAATGTAGGATGACCTCGGAGTATGTTTCTTTGCGATAAACTGAAGTGTGAAGGGCTCCATTAGTTTTTCGGAGCACGAGAACATCCAGAAATGGGAGCTGTCCATCAACCTCTGTTTCAAAAGTGAACTTGATTCCTGGAAATGTGGAGTTAAGATTCGTGTGAAGCTGGTCAAACTGGTTTCTCTTGAATACTTTGTCAACTTTACAAACAAACCGAAGAATAAAGGGCTACATGAGTAACACGTCAGCGTCCTAAAAGCCTCGTAATTTAGAACGTCTTCAAAACCGAAGTATTCTTACCCTACAAGCAGGAAAATTAAAAATCCAATTTTTCTATGGAGTGCCCACAAAAGTTTTTTCAACCCAAAGTAATGAGAAAGTGCGCACTACCTAATTAATGATTTCAATCCAAACAGTATTTGCACAGGTACCCGGAAGGACACTCAGTCAAAGCCAGCCTGTCAATTCGTTCTCCACCCTCGCGGTGCGATTTTTTGCATTTGAGGGCTACCGTTTCATGCATCTCGGCCGATGCCATTCGCCTGAATGTAAGCGAGGGTGCGGACACCGGACAATTGAATGCGTTTTTGGAGCAAAAAACTTGTCAGG